AAACGATTCACTAATAATGACTAAATTACGGGGACTCAGCCACGAAGGTAACTTTGCTTTAATTGATTACCATAATAACACTACGATCATACACAGATGAATGGATAAATACTGAGATAATTATCCAAAGGAAGTAATTTAGATCAGAAAGAGCTACGGAAATTGACTGAATTTAGAAGTAAAGAAATAAAGAAATAGAAATAAAGACATTGAATTATGCTGACTATATGAACACACACTAAATAAATGAATAAATAAATAGATAAATAACAGGCAAGGAGTGAATCTTTCAACGGTAGGTGAATAACGGTAACTAATTAATCATATGTTTAGCCTGCTATGGTTCCGTATGTGTGTGTGTGTGTGTGTGTGTGTGTGTGTGTGTGTGTGTGTGTGTGTGTGTGTGTGTGTGTGTGTGTGCCTGTGTGTGTGTGTGTATTTCTGTGTGTGTGTGTGTGTGTTTGTGTGTGTGTGTGTCTCTCTGTTTGTGTGTGTGTGTGTGTGTGTGTGTGTTTCTCTGTGTGTGCGTGTGTGTGTGTGTGTTTCTGTGTGTGTGTGTGTGTGTGTGTGTGTGTGTGTGTGTGTGTGTGTGTGTGTGTGTGTGTGTGTGTGTTTCTGTTTGTGTGTGTGTGTGTGTGTGTGTGTGTGTGTGTGTGTGTGTGTGTGTGTGTGTGTGTGTGTGTGTGTGTGTGTGTGTGTGTGTGTGTGTGTGTGTGTGTGTATGTATGTGTGTGTGTGTGCATATGTGAATATTGTAAACCGATCTACCATACTTACCATTTGTATAATTATCTTAAAAGTCAATGTCTATCTGTTTTATAACAGATAAGCAGTGTTAACCAATTCTATGTTCTTTTTAAATCAATTATTTTTCTGTTTTATTTCTGAGATTTTCATTCGAATTCTTCTCTTCGTGTTTATAAAAGTCCCGAATGTGTCATTCCATTTTCGCCTGTATATTATTTAACTATGTTATCTATCAGTCGGTCATTACATAGAAACCAAAATTGTCAATGCTGCCTTTTTTATATAGTTATTTCTTGATATTTAAAAAAAAATAACTCGTATTGCATCAAAGGTTTTTTTTTCTTTTCTTTTTTTTTGTTTATTCAAAATTTGTGTTCCTTTAATTTCTTCATAATATTTCTTCGCCTATTTATTTGTCTGTGTATCTATCTACTTATTTATCTACTTGTTCATTTACTCATTTCTATATTCTTTACTTATTTCTTTATTTTTTATTCATTAACTGAGCGTCCGCCTTAATCCTGCGTCCGCCTACCCCCCCTGCAGGAAGGTGTCGAGCATGACAAGCGACGAGATCCTGAGCTGGGCCGACGGCGACCTCCTCCTGCCGGCGATCGAGGCCACGGAGGCGCCCCAGCACTGGCACACCTACGCCCACCCCGCCCACAACGAGGTCGCCGACGCTTGGTACTCCCCGCCCGCCGCCTCCGTGCCCTACCCCGAGGAGCAGGCGTACCCGTGGGGCCCGGCGCCCGCCCACCACGCCCCCGCCGCACGCCCGCACTACCGCCCTAGCGTCCGCCCGCGCCCTCGGCCCAAGGCGCCCACCCGCCGGCGCCCCGCCCGCCCCTACGCCCCGCGGCCGGCGCAGAGGCAGCCCACCGCTCAGAGGAGGAGGACCGTCCTCCGCCGCAGGACGACGCCGCGCCCCTACCAGCCGGCGGCAGAATACTCCTACGAGGACTACGACTACAACTACAACTACAACGACGACGACGACTACTACTATTACGGCGACCACTACGACTACTACTACGACGCGCCCCCGCAGCGCCTGAATCGGCGTCCGAGGCCAGACCGAGGCTCCCACTACTACTACCCGACGACCCCCTTGCCCAGCGACAGGGACGCCTACTCCACGACCACCCGACGACCCGACACGACCCCTGCGACGACCACCAGCGCGAGTCCGGCTTCCACGACGACCCAGAGGGCCTGGCCCGAGACCAGACCCACCAGCAAGTACGCCGAGACCATAAGAACGGTACGACCTACCTACAAGACCGTGGACGACCAGGATTGGGCTCGATTCAACGCCGAGAAGAAGACTTAGTGTCGTGTCAGTTAACATAAGGACGACACCGAAATCATCACTACACTATTGGTAAAACAAATAACGGCTGGTAAAGGCTGCAAGCTCACGATAATTCTAGAAATAACATAAATTAAGTGCGATTATCCCCCAAAAGAAAAAAAAAATCACTTATAAAACATTGCACCTTCCCATCTTTACACAGACCGCATCATGGCGAGTAGCTCCAGCATTCTTTTTTATACCACAATGCATTTTGTGTAATCTAGATTTATCATACAGGAAGTAACAATAAACCTAAAATTAATCTTTATAATGAATCAGAAATCCGCTGGACGCTAGTCAAACAGCTGAAAGAGATTATACGTTATACACACAAATTAGTTGAACATTGTATACAAAACAATATTTTCATCAACAATATAAACTCAAGCAAGTATATATGTACATTTTTTAAAGTAAAAACTAAAAAAGGTTATATTTTATCGTAAATCGAGAATATTGTTCATCATCTTATTTACATATTCATCATATTTTCTTTGTGTTTTCTAGCAGTTTATCAGGAAAACGCTTGTAAGAGTACGCCAATAAGTGATATTTATTGTTAAGATTGAAATCTAAATATTCCATTACCTATTGTTATGATCCATTGTATTTAGTGTATCCGCTTGATATGGCATTGATCCAGAGCACAAACCACCTGAAAAAATACTCATTAGTTATAGTTTTTTCTGCAAAATTTGCAACATACGGAATCGATGAATGGAATTTTTGTTGCTGTTTTGTTTTGTTGGTGTGATTGTTATTTTTTTATATCTTATTTTTTTTAAGTAAACAGAAAATATTATTAGCTGACATATATTAACTGAGTGAACTTAACACAAAAATATTGTTAATCTTCATTGAATTCCGATGTAGCAAATGTTGCAAGGTTCTCCGCTTCTGTCTAGTAATTCCTCTGTTCCTTCCTTTCTCCTTATTTCTATATTTTCCGAAAGTCTGAAAAGAAAGAATTGGAAAGTCAAAAGTAAAGAAAAAAATATATGAAGAGGAGAAACTGACTTTTGATCATTAATTTTATTGATTTTTTTCTCTCTATGTTTTCAACATTTTTTCTTCTTTTTTTTTCTTTTTTTTTGGTTTTCCTTTTTCTGTCCTACACCATTTAAGTTCATTTTATCATAGCTCTTTGGATAAATTATTTGATATGATTTTTTTTCTAGAAGTAAAATAAAAAAAAAAAAAGTTAATTCTAGAAAAAAAAAATTGAAAAAAGTTATTGTGATAAACTTTTCCTAAAAACATTAATCATTTTAGGTGAAACATGAAGAGGCTGATAACTGAACTATATGTATGTTATTTATGTTATTCTAAGTTTATTTATCAAATATCCATTGTACAGGAAAACATCGAGAGTTGACAACCAGTATCAGTTATATCAAAACGTATCGCAAACAAGTGGCTGGAAACAACCATTTGTCTGATGGACCTAAACATTTTGTAATGATCTTAACGACCCCTTAAAAGGAGATTCAGAACACTTCTGACAGACAGCACAAACCACAATAATATGTTTAGTGGATTCAAACCTATTTTTGCCACAGATAAACATAAGCGCTTTCTGGTTTCCGACCCTCGATGTTATAGTTTAAATTATTTATTGTAATTAATGTGTTTTTTTGATGTTTTGATTTATTTTTCCTTCTCTATCACTCTCTCTCTCTCTCTGTCGTTTTCTCTCTTTCTCTCTATCTATCTGTCTATTTAGCTATCTATTTATCTCTCCATCTTTGTGTATATATATGCTTTATTTGTTAACGTATTTATTAGTTTATTTATATATTCACGTATTTCACTGTTACCCACCTTTTCCTCTTCGTCCAAATCGATTCCTGCTTCCCTGTGCCAAAGAGGCCTTTCGTGCTAATAGATAATAAACTCCCTGTTAACTTATCAAACGTCCCTGAATCTTGTACTTTTGTATTGTTACAATTTCTATAATGATTAAATTATTAGTCTGCTTGGAGATTCACAGCGTTTATTTATTTCCTTTACAAATGTACACAAATGGATCATCTTGCTTTTATAAATGTCTCTTCTTTTTTTGGGGGGGATATATATATATATGTGTGTGTGTGTGTGTGTGTGTGTGCGTATATATACATATATATATATATATATATATATATATATATATATATATATATATATATATATATATATATTATGTATACATGCATACATGAAAGAAAAAAAGAAAAAAAAGTAAAAAATGAAAGGAAAAAAAGTATACACACACACACACACACACGCACACACACACACACACACACACACACACACACACACACACACACACACACATATATATATATATATATATATATATATATATATATATATATATATATATATACATATATATACATATATATAAATATATATCTATATATATCTATATATATATATATATATATATATATATATATATATATATATACATATATATACATATATATAAGTATATATATATATATATAATATATATATATATATATATATATATATATATGTGTGTGTGTGTGTGTGTGTGTGTGTGTGTGTGTGTGTGTGTGTGTGTGTTTGTGCGTGTGTGTGTGTGTATGTGTGTGTGTGTGTGTGTGTGTGTGTGTGCACGTGTGTATAATTTATGTATGTATGCATGCATGCATATATATGTATATATGTATGTATGCACGTATGCATATATGTATGCATGTATGTGTGTATGTGTGCATGCATGTATGTATGCACACATGTATGTATGTATACACGCATGCATGTATTTGTGTATGTATGCACAAATACACATATATGAAGGCAGGAAGAGGCTGAATGGTATGCTAACCTTCACGCAACTGAAACCGTGCAAAGAAACATCTTGTAGGAAAATAAAAGAGCGTTTGATAAGAGGAATGAATAAATATTTGACGCGACCACGACAATACAGAACAGAAACCAAAACATTACAAAATCATGTAGTTTATACAGTGAATGGAAAAATAAAATTAACCTATATCATTATTAGTAAACATGAAACATCTATAGCAGTCTTTCATAGAAAGTACATGTAGTAATTACCATTACAAATATAGATTTATAGACTCTAATTGGGCAGAAATACTGCCTACATGTGTAGCTTGTACTATACAAACGGTCTAACATACTGTCTACTGCTGGGGGCGTTGGTAGCGTCTCTGGATTGGCAACACTGTTTCCCCTGCTTCTCGTCGTCTTCCCGAAGGTCTGTCTCGCGTGACATTGCGTGGACGGAGTTTGTATGTTTATGAAGAGTGTTTTTAGTGTTTTTGGAATACTAATTTGTAGGTTGTATAGATTTAATGTAAAAGCACAAAAGGTGCGGCGACGTGTACGTGTCCCCAGTGAAAACAAATTGGATTCATATCTATCACAGATAGATACGTTTTTCCAAATTTGTTTTGCCGAATTAATCTCTTAATTAATTGATTTTTTCTTAGTATAGAAGATGGAACCTATATTTACTTTAGTGTGTTCAGTGGTACAGTTAATTCATCCATACATATGTTAGTCACGAAAGGAGCGACCTTTTCCGGGAGAGTTCGAGGAAAGACTGGAATCAGCAGCCAGACCGAGGGCGCCGCCATGCCTACAACCAGCACACAGGCAAACTATCCTACGTTACGAACGGTAGAAGCAAACTCTTCGATGATAAGATAGTTAAGAAATTATAATATATATGTATATATATATTTATATGAATCGTCATTGACTTGGCAAGAGATGAGCGCCTGAGGGAAAGGATGGGACATCTATCGAGTACCAGAAGAGAGTTTTCTGGTACAAGAGGAGGCTCTGGGGAAGGGAGGGACGTCTACGAGACGGCCCTCAACTTCTCTTCTTGGCTTGACTTCACCTCCAGCGGCCTTTGACATCCTCCTTGGCTCTCAGGGCGGCACTCGCCGCTGCGCTGATCAAAAGCCATACCCTCGGGACACGAAGATACCAAGTGCATACGACGGGCGCGGCAGGTGAAGAACACACGGCAGGCGCTCTCCACTTCGCCGTGGACCCCGTCGGGCAGGGCCTCGCAAGGGTTTATGTGCTTCGGGCACGTGATGAGATCCCTCCTCTCGCAGCGGCCGCTGATCGGGCTGAAGAGGCTGCCCTCGGGGCACCGGGACTGAAGGTCGTTCTCCTGCCGACAGACCACGAATTCCTCGCAGCCTGCACTCACATCCGTGTAGCTCCCATCAGGAAGGCCTTCGCAGAGGGACCTCGAGGGGGTTGCGTGGGTGTCGGGAGTCTGAGTGACCGCAATACCTGAGCTTTCGACTGCTTGATCTGGGTGTAAGGGAGCGTCGTAAGGGAGCTGTGCCGAGGGAGGAGGGCGCTCCGACGCCCCGAGCAAACCCTGGGGAGCGTTCGCTACAGGAGCCCCGATCTCTGCTAACATCTGATCGGGAGTGAGATCCAGCCTGGCCGGAGAGGAGGGCGAGACCAGCCCGAAAGACGAGCACGAGAACTCGTAGAATGGGACGCATTTGTACCCGTTGAAGACCTGGTTGTGCGGGCACGCCAGCGTCTGCGTCTTGACGCCTCCCTGGCACTTGTAGTACACTTGGCAGCGCGAAGTCAGATCCGGGTAGAGTCCCGAGAACTTACCGACGCAATCGCGGTCGTCTGTGGGGCTCGGGCAGGTGTACGTGGATGCCGGGACGCACGTCCTGCCGTTGTGCACCTGCTCTCCGGGGCACGTGTGCGCGTACTTGACCCCGCCGTAGCAGTAGTAATATTTGCGGCATCCGCTGAACACGTCCTGGTAGAAGCCGTTGATCTTCCCGTGGCACGAGGAGGGACTCGAGCACGTGAACGCCGTCTCCGGCACGCACTGCACGCCGTTGAACGCCTCGCCGTCGGGGCACGTGTAATTAATTCTGTGGCCGCCCCGGCAGTAGTAGAACCTCCTGCAGGACGTGTGCAGGTCCGGGTAGTATCCATCCGGGCCGCTGCAGGGAGGACGCTCCCCTTTGGGCCCAGAAGGACACTTGTACTGCGAGGACGGGACGCAGGTGTGGCCGTTGAAGACTCGCTCTCCCGGGCACTCGCGGGCGAAGCTCTTGCCGCCGTAGCAGTAGTAGTACCTGCGGCGGAGGCAACGTTAGCTTCTTTCTTTACAGCTATGAACACGTGTATTTATTCATACTGAATGAATAAAGAAAGAAATATATGTATAAATGAGTAAATATCATTAACACACACACACACACTTTGAAACTGAAACTTGATTACTGAGACATTTAAAAAAGAGATGAAATAATAACGCTAATAACAACAATAATGAAATGAAATAAAGTACTAATTTGTATTGTAGTTAAGCTACAGGCTGGTTCAACTAATTTGGTAGATTTTGTTTTCAAACCTTATAACACACACACAATACATTACAAAAGACACATATATGAGCACAAACAACTTCATTCCAACCACCTACATCATCCATGCCCGATCCAACACACACGCACACCCACCCACACCCACACCAGAACCTCCCACTCACACCCACACTAGAACCTCCCGCCCACACCCACACTAGAACCTCCCGCCCACACCCACACTAGAACCTTCCGCCCACACCCATACTAGAACCTCCCGCCCACACCCACATCAGAACCTCCCGCCCACACCCAAACTAGAACCTCCCGCCCACACCCACACTAGAACCTCCCGCCCACACCCACACTAGAACCTCCCGCCCACACCCACACTAGAACCTCCCGCTCATACCCACACTAGAACCTCCCGCCCACACCCACACTAGAACCTCCCGCCCACACCCACACTAGAACCTCCCGCCCACACCCACACTAGAACCTCCCGCCCACACTCACACTAGAACCTCCCGCTCACACCCACACTAGAACCTCCCGCCCACACCCACACTAGAACCTCCCGCCCACACCCACACCAGAACCTCCCACCCACACCCACACTAGAACCTCCCGCCCACACCCACACCAGAACCTCCCACTCACACCCACACTAGAACCTCCCGCCCACACCCAACCCCACTAACTGCCACACGCCCCCTTCCGCATCCGCATCCCCCCCCCCCCCGCCACCCCACCCACACCGCACGCACCTCCTGCAGCCCGACTGGATATCCTGGACGAATCCCTTGCGTCCGACTCCGCACTCCTTCGCCCCGTCGACCGGACACACGTAGCTGGCCGCCGAGACACACACGTCGCCGTTGAACACCTCCTCGTCGCCACAGGTACGCGTCGAGACTCGTTCACCTGCGCGACACTCGTAGAAGGAGCGACACCTGCGAAGGGCACGGGCGAGTTCATATTCCGTGGTGTTTTGTTATTCATACTAATTGTTTTATTAGGGAAACATGTGCTTGATATGTTTTTTTATCATGATGGGGGTTCATTATCATTATAGGTATCATCTTTATAAACAACGATAACATTTTTATCCGTACTATTATCGTAATTTCTTAAATATATTAACGGCTATTCTTTGGGCAATTTCACGAGCTCGAATGTTATTCCATCCCGAAAGGAGGTAATACAGAATAATAAAAAAAATAGAAGAAAACACTTAACAGCAATACATAAATCAATGAGCAACACACATAAAGCATCATCCTATATCCTAGAATTCCTCGTAAGAAACGCACCTGGTGGAGAGGTCCTGATAAAGGCCGTCGGGTTTGGCCAGGCAGACGGTGCTTACGCGGGCCGGGCACGTGTAGAAGAAGTAGGGCACGCACTCCCTCCCGTTGAACACCTGCCCCGTGGCGCACGCGCGGTACCACAGCAGCACGTCTTCTTGGCACCGGAAGTAACCCTGACACCCTCGGTCCGTGTCGACAAGCGTCGTGTTGAGCCGCTGGTGGGAGCACAGCGTCGCCGCGGGGCAGTGCACCTGCACCGCCGGTTCGCACGCCCGCCCGTTGTGCAGGCGTCCTTCGGGGCACCTGAAGTCGATCTTGACCCCTGAGAGGCACTGGTAGTAGGTGCTGCAGCCGCTCTCCAGGTCCTGGTACACGCCGTCGCCTCGGAGAAGGCACTCGGGGGCGCCAGCGATCACGGGGCACTCGTAGGAGGCCTGAGACACGCACCGGAGGCCGTTGAACCTCTCGCCGGGAGGGCAGGACCTGACGAATTCCTTGGTGCCTTCGTGGCAGTAGAAGAAGCGCGTGCAGCGGGAGGGCACGTCGAGGTAGTAGCCGTTGGGGCGCGAGGCGCAGTCGGGGTCGCCGGCGAGGGAACGCGCCACCCGGTTGGTGAGGTTGGCCGCCAGGGGCGCGAGCGGCGGCCGACTCGCGGGGCACGGGTACAGCACGGGGTCCACGCACTGCTCGCCGTTGAACACGTTGGTGCCCGGGCACGTGTGCTCGCTCATCTTCCTGCCGCCCCGGCAGGAGAAGAAGGTCCTGCAGCCGGTCTTCTCCACCGTGTAATAGCCGTCGATCTTGTTGGCGCAGTCGGGGCGCGGCGCCGGGGACGTGCACAGGGCATTCGTGTCCTCCACGCACTCGCGCCCGTTGAACACGAGGCCGCGCGAGCACAGGAAGGCGCGGATGAACTGCTGGTGGCGGCACAGGAAGAAGCCGCGGCAGTCGGAGGCGGCGAAGAGTCCGTCGTCGCGCCCTTCGCACGACCCGCGCCCCTCGCCCCAGCAGGAGAAGTTCGTAGCCGAGACGCACCGCTGCCCGTCGAAGATCTGGTGGCGAGGGCACTCCTTCAGGTCGACCAAGGCGCCGTTGAAGCACCTGAAGTAGGCGCGGCAGGAGGCGTGGGGTGCCGCGTGGAAGCCATTCACGCGCCCCTCGCACGCCTGCTCGTAGCACACGGAGGAGGAGCTGGGAACGCACCGCTGAAGGAGGAAAAGGGTAATGAGGTCTCGGCA